GGGCGTGTACATTGGCTTAGGGCTTTGGAACAACAGAAAACTTGTGTAAGGGCCCCTTTCGGCAGCATGTCTCCCCCCCAGAGGGGGGTCTGCACACTGGGCCTTAGGTAAGACGGGTGCGCCTGGCCTACATCGACCGAGCTGCCAAGTCACATGCGCCCGGCAGCCTGGACAATTGTTGGAACACGACTAGGACGGTCAGCAAATGCGTTTCCGCGCGGCTAGGACGGTCGTCAATACCGGCCAACCCAACTGTGGCATGTAGGTTAGGTATACCTCAAGATTTTGATGTGGCAAACATGTGGTCGAAAAGGCATGGACGGATCTTTGTTGCTTGGTTTCTTTTGGAGCCTTTGATGTTTATGTGACCCTGAAGGCAAAGACGACTTCGGGTGGGCAGGGGCCAGGAGAGGCAAACAAAATGAAGCAGTCGTCGAGAAAAGAGAGGGGCGTGCTGGTTTTTGTTGGTGGTACCCTTTCTGGGTGTGTTTCAACGCCCACCGAAAGGAACACTTTTTCTTTTTCTTGGAGGGGGAGGGGGGTCCGAAACAAAGGCACATTTGGAGGATTCTTTGCTTTGCCTTGAGCTGTGTGCTCACCCTTACCCCAAGTTTTCATGTCCAGCGAAGGGCAGGGGGAAGCGCAAGGCCAGCGTGTCACAATGTGACCCCAAGAGGGGAACGGGAGGTTGAACAGTTCACATTGCCAATGAACTTGCAATTTGGCCCAGCCAGTGGCCAGCTCAAAGAGTTCGTGGCTGTCCATGATATCCAATGCACTTTTGGGCATAAGAAGAACTTGCTTCCACGTGATGCGAATATTCACAACATGTGCGGCGGTTCGCAGATACTTCGAGGCCTTCGCCATGTAGCCATGTGCGGCGTAGAGGGGCACATGTCGAGCTCCAAGGCAGTTGCTCCAGGATGAGGGCCAGGAGCTGTCGACGCCTTTGGTTCAAGAGGTGAGAGAAAAAAACGCCTTCAATCGGAAACTTTTTTGTTGCAGGGCCTCCCTTCACAGCAAATCCGGGCTCAAAAAGCGTAAATTGACACTTTTGCGATGAGAAATCCCGCGCTATCCCGCGCTTGTTTGTTTTGTGTTGCTCGTTTTGTTTGGGATGGTGTTTGAAGATCACTCCGTTGTTATGCCTTTTATGCGACGAAGCCTTTGGCTATTTGTAGATTGGCAGCTTGAGATGCTGTGGACACCTAGGAGAATAATTTTCAGCGCGCCGGGCTTGCTTACCGAGGTTTCCAGTTAGCATGTTTCGGATGACCCGTCTCTGGGAGCAAGCTTTGAAGCCGGGAGAGCAGCTGAGAGCTTCGCGCTTTGGAAGGGAGAGGCCGTTTGTTTGTGAGGACCCTGGCTGGGTTGCTCCGGAGTGGGTCTACCAAGTGACGCTGATGTCACCCTACATTGCCGTGCTCTTGGCTTGGTCAGGGGCTGGCTTGCGGGGCCAGGCTTTTCGCATGTCAGTGGTGGATCAAGGAAGCACTTTAGCAGACAGTTTGGGTGTTGCTCAGAAATGGGGGTCCAAACTCGAAGCCGGGTAACTGGAAGGGACGAAAACCTGCGGTTTGCCGCAGCTGTTGAATCTTGCTGGTGCTCAGGGATCATGAGAATCAACCGGAAGGGGATTCTCGAAAACAGGAAACCACCAGTTTTGTTTCATTCCAAGCCTCGTTCCCTGCTTATAACAGCAGCTGTCAGATTTGCTTGAGCCACCCCCACTTGCCTCGGATCAACCCCCCCGGATCTCCGGGATCTCCTTCTCCCTGAGGCCTCCAGTGCTTCCATCGCCTGCCAAGTGGTGTTGCAGTTGGCCTACAGCACCAAGTTCCAGCGGGTCGAGGCGCATCGCGAGCGCGCTCGAGAGCTCGCCCGCTCGCCCGAGGCGTCGCTCTGTCGCTCGATGCGGCTTGGGAAGTTGATCAAAAGGTCCCGGTTGATAAACATGGGATGACTGCTGTTGGTTGGGTGGGAAACCGCGCGCAACAGATGCGAGATGTCGACCACATGGGAAAAGTGACTTATGTTCATTTTGGGGGGACAGGAATGCTCGCTCGAGTCGTCGAGGTGGCTCGAGATGTGGGCATGGGTCAAAATAGTTGGTACCCCTCAATGGAACCCTTGCCCCGGTAAATGAAACCAATATCCTTGTTTAATCTTGACCCATACCGTGGACGCATGACGCAATCGGAGAAGTCGAGCATGGCGATGGGTACTGTATGTTTTTCTTTTTCTTTTTCTGAGCGTCGATGTACTGCGTCCATGGCATGGAGCCTTGCAAAGCCACCCACCACAAGGTTTTGCATTTTTTGGGGTGACTTCTGGCTTAGCTCTCCCAGCCTGGCGATGGAACTTAAGCGCTTTCAGGAGCAGCACTGGGCTTATGCGTGCATTGTGGGCATTTGCCTCGCTTTGCTGGTGCTGGAGGCACGGGTCACTTGGTCACTGGACACGTCGAGAACTAGTCAAAGCAAGACAAGCACTCCTGCAAGCTCAAGCACTACAGCAAGATTGGGGGCCATGTTTCAAAACCATTTATCCGTTTCCAGTTTAGCTACTGGCCTGCGGGTAGGAGGTTCGTACCTTTGCCTGTGAGCTTTGGGTGCAGGTGGTGCGCAGTGCAGTCACCACGGTCGTGGAGTTGCGGAAGCCACGCTCTCAGAGAGTCACTCTGGCTTGTCCTGGGCAGAATCCGGGACAGATGGCTGGATGGACGGATACCCTTCCTCCCACGTTGCCATAGGAAACCTGTGGGGAGGCGCCTGGAGGGAGTGGGCCGTGAGGTGCCATGGCAACGTGGAGCCCACTGGAAGCAGTTCGATGTCCAATTCCCTTGAGCTCGACTACCTGTGTGGACGTCATGGTGGGGATTCATCTCCACTCTTTTGAGCCATGGCAACGTCGAGAGGCTCTCCTCCGCAAAAAATCATCTGAGGTTTGAGATCCGCCGGCGCTTGGTTGGAGGGGACTTCCTCAAGAGCCGCATCCGGAAGGCTCGAAACCGTTTCGCCTCTGCTTCCTCAGGGCGGAAGGTTGACGCAAGCTGCGCTGGCAGCCATCATCCAAAGTGGCTATGGGACCGGTTTTTTCCGGCCACCAGGAAGTGGACCGCAGGTTCTGTCCATTCATGTCCAGTCCATTTCCCAGGATTTTCTTCCGGGTTACCCACATTTTTTGATCACCACTCTAGAGGTACCTTCCCCCATTCTTTTCAGGCATCCTTCTTTCTAAAAAACCACCCGAAACCCTGGGAAAACAGCTGGTTCTTGAAAAGAACCATGGTTGAAAAGAATGGACAAGGAGTCAACCCCCAGTAAAAATGGTCGGTTCGGTGGCGGCACCTGCAGTCCACCCTTAGAACCACCGCCTTGACCTCATCGCTCGGACTGCCGCGGGCCCGCGCAGACCGACGTGGGCTTGAAGGGTCGCACGCCGCCGGCGAAGAAGCCCGCGGTGCCGCTGGCGCCGCCCAGGAGAGAGCGAAGGGACGTTTTTGTTCTTCTTTTTCTCCGTTTTTCCCCCTGTTGTTATTTTTTCCGTTGTTTTTTCTCCCCGTTCTTTCTTCTTTTTTTCCATTTGCTGAAAGGACATTTTCTGTTATTTTCTCTTTTGGTTTCAAGGGGAATCTATCACTACTGGAAACATGTGTGTTTTTCCCAGGGGTCTTAAGCAAATGGAGGTTTTGGTTTCGTGTCGTGTCAAGGGGCGATGGATTCAGTGCAAGTGGTAAGAACTTGGGTGTTAGATTTGCCAGGTTGGTGCGTGTTTCTCCTGGGTTATCCTATCCTAGGTTATGCTAGTAAGTGGCTCAATCAACCCCAGCGTATTTATTGCGGGGGTGTCCCTAGTTTTAGTGGCGGTTTATCACTTCTGCAGGGGAACCCCCCCCCCCCACATAAAACAGAAAAGAAAACAACTCATAGAAGCCACGAACCCGAATGCGGACACGAAAGCGGACTCTTGTCACATCTCGCGTCGCGACTCTAGTCACGTTTCTATAGTCACATCTCTGGTCACGTCTCTGGTCACGTCTCTAGTCACGCCTTTGGTCACGTCATTTGTCACGTCTCTCGTAGCAACTCTGGCCACGTCTCTCGTCATGACTCTGTCACGTCTCCCATCACGCCTTTCTTGGCGACTCCCGTCATGTCTCTTGTCATGCGAGTCGTGACCCCTCGCGTCGCGGGTCGCGGGGTCGCTTGTGACCTGTGTTTTTGGTCGCTTGTGACCTGCCGTAGTTTCGCGCTTTTGCCCGCGCACCTTTCTTTGCACCCAGGCACCCAGTCACCCACGCGCCCACACGCCCACACAGCTGCCGAAACACCCACGCACCCACGCGCTCGCGGACCCATTCGCCGGCGCATCCAATCACGCGCGCGAGGGACCGTCACGCGCAGCATCATGCGCAGCATCATGCACGGCGTCGTGCGCAACGTCACGCGCAGCGTCATTTGCAACATCATGCCTGCGCAGCCACATTCGCGGTCTTTCTCATGTCTCTAGCCACGACCCTACCCGCGTTTCGTGTCGCATCTCTCGTCACGTGTTTCGTCACCACTTCGCGATCTCAAAACAAACGTGCTCCGCACCACGGCGAAAGCGATTCAACCCTAAGTGCGCAGAGCCTTCACTGTGCGATCTCAAAATGTGCGCCGCACCACAGAAAGATCGATTCGACCGACCCAAACTGCACAGAGGGTTCGCTTTGCGAGCTCAAAACGCGCATGACGCTACAGCGACATGCAAAACGCTCAAAATGCTGCTTCTGCCGCGAAATCAGAATTTGACACTCTCGCATCGCACGCGGAAAACTAGCGCGGGGCTGTTTAGCTCCAGAATGAATTCGACCGATTTCTTGCAAATCTAAAGTCGTGAAAACGAGCCGATTGTACGACCGGGCCAGCGAAACCGACATTCGAGGAAACGCTTGCGCGCATTCCTAGCAAAATGCCTCAAAACGACGACCCCTGAAACGCGAACTACAATGGATTTGCAACGCAAACGTGAACCTTCACAAAACACTGCGCCTGTGCAGCAAAGCAACGTCTGACATGCTAAGAGCTGCGATTCCCGCACAGGGGCACGAAAAATGACACGCTTCAAGTCTGACATGCTAGGAACTGCGACCGCGTCACTCGCGACCACCTACGGACGCTTGCGGACGCTTGCGAGCGCTTGGGGGCTTAAATTCAACGACTTCTGGTCACGTCCTAACCCAGACCCCCGACCGCTAAACGGGAACCCTTCTACTGCGCATTCGGGAAAACAACAACAACGGGGTTTATTGATCTGTGGTCAACATTGCTTAGTAAGTTGTTGGTTGGTAAACCCGGTTATAACCCATTGAACGAGGACTTATAACCATGGCTTTTGTGGGTTACTAGGCTTACACTATGTCCGATGACCCTTTAAGTGCGGGTTACGTTTGGGGAGCGACTTCAGGCCCTTTGCCTGAGCATGGCCCAGATGTTCGATGAATTCATGGACAGGAATCTGCCCAAGAATGCACCTCCGCCACCACCGCTGGGCTCCTCAGGTCAAACAAGACGTCAGAGTTGGACGAACTGTGCTTGAGCGCTTGAACATTGAAGAAGAATTTGAGCGGTTGGGTTACAGGAAATTCTACAGGAAAACAGCTTATTAAGGGTGTTTTGAGGCCATTTCTTGTAGTTTTTCCTTTTACCAAACCCTTTGACCTTCGATCTGCCCATCTCCAATTGCCAAGGTCAGCGAAGCCTCCGGTGGTGCGCCCTGCGTTCCTTCCAAAGGAAGGGCCGCCCGGCACACCTGGCGCCAAAGGACCTTTGACGCGTTGTGACCTTGGTTTCAACCTGCAAAGATGGCGTTTCACCTGGGCATCTCGAAGTGACATGGTCTTCAACTGCTGACAAGATGGAGTTAGCCATTTTTCCGCTTAAGTTTAGGGAGTGGGGGGGCCTGGACTATTCACTCGGTTTCTTGATGTGGTCAGTGCCGCCATTCTCTAATTGTTGGGGGTGGAGCATGAAGGGTCATTGGTTGGCTATCCCATTTGGTTTGGCGTCACCGTCTCACTTGCCATCTTGCCCCCCCACTCTTGTCGTTTCCTCCAAACCCCCCAAACCCCCCACGTTCCCCCCTTCACCCACCCCGGGTGGTTCAAGGGTTCAACCCCCACATCCCGCCAAATCGGGAGAGACCTCCAAAGATCCAGCTCCAGTTGGCTTCAGGAGCCGCGGGGGTGCCGTCCTTCAGAACTGCAGGGAGCCAAAAGAACCACAGAGCTGTGGCCATAGGTGTCCTTTTTAGTTGTTTTAGTAGAAGAATAGATGGCCCTGGTTTACCTGTTGGTTTAATCATGCACAGGGCTATCTATTTCCCCTAAAAGGACTCTTATGGCTGTGGCGCTTGCGAGTTTGTACCCCTGCTTCCTTGGGCTTTTGAAGGGAATCCAAAAGGAGAGCCGCCCTTTTGACTTTGGGGCGCCCCTCAGCTTGGCACCTACCGCCGAGGTCGGCGGAAAGAGTTTGCCTGTGACAGGGCCGCCCCCTCCTCCCCCGCTGCCACCCGGCGTCAAGGCCTGGATAAACGACGAGGGCTACCATTTTTTTCCATGGCGACGTGTCAACCGTCAACCCCTCCCGTTGGCCACGGGTCAAAAATATACCAGGATATGGACCGCAGGTTTGAGTCCTTTCCATTTTTACAAGGGCTCGCGCATTTTTTTGGGGTCACCCACTATTTTTGACAGCCGTGTGTCGAGCACATCTTGCAGGTAGATTTGCCCAAAGGCACCTCCAAAGGCCCTAGCTGTCAAGCACACATCTGGTGAGAGGCCAGTCCGGAGCCTTCTACTATCGCCTAGATTTGTGGCTCAAAAAACCGGTACCACAATGGCACCTTGGTAAATGGAACCAAGGACAAAAACCCGCGTAACCCCAGCTCTTCAATTTTGAGCCATACCCATTTGGGCCTGTCTTTGTCTTGGAACCCCAAACTGGATTTCTCCTGTTGGTTTTCGCCTAAACCACACAAAGAAGCCCCTCAACAAAAAGACCCCCCCCAATTCAACCTTTTCCTTGGGTGCTCAACAGGGAATGAGGCAATGACCTCCATAAACCATTTATCCCTTTTTCGGCCATCTTCCGATTCATTCCCCACACCCGGTCTGCGTGGCTCAAGATAGAGCTAGGGTTGCGCAGGTGCTAGTCTTTGTTTCCATGTACCAAGCGGCCATTTTGGTTCATGTTTTCGAGCCACAGCCAGCAAGTTTATCATGGCCACCACAATCAAACCCCGGGTAGATGAAGGTTAGTAGGGGACAACTTCAACAAGAAATAGCTGCGGATATCCGCCTTCCCAATTCTTCACATTCTGGGGATCGACCATTTTACTACCTCATTGCATTCCATTGTAGTGGTTTTGACCAAACCTCAGATCCCGATGATACCATTCAAGCTTGTTCTGCAATGGTTTTGACTATGACTCATTGGATTCATCGCTTGACTGCTATTGGGTTGGATCTTTCGACTTTTTCTTTTTGGTTGAAATCAAGGGGTTTTCAACTCACCCCCAAGAAGTTGAACTCACCTTTTTGCAGGGTCAACAGCAACCAAGGTCGCTTGTTGTTTTTTGTTCATTCTTCACATGGTTCTGGTAGACCATGTCACTACCGGGTGTTGGCTATGACTCGTTGGCTTCCTCGCGCGGCGCTTGAATTTTTTTCCCCGGAGGCTCTGGCGCACTCCCCGGCGGCCTCGCGGACGCCGTCCATGCCCAGCATGCCCAGCGTGCCCAGCGGCCCGCCCAGCGCCGCCGCCTCGGCGCGGCGGTGAAGGCGACGTCGAGTTTGCCGCATCTCACGCGTTGGCCATGAAGTTTAGGTATGGCACCCCCCTGGAAAGTTGTGGGTGGACAGAAAGCATCACCTAAATGATGTCCTGAGGGTGATTAAATTCATGCCCAGCTTGGTTCTTCTAGTTTGTTGGTGTGGTATTTCATCGTGTAGTACGCTTTTAATATTCAGGGCAAAGCACATTCGTCCGCCGTGAAGCTCAACATGCAATTCTGGAAGCTGGGAAGCCGAGCGAAGTCAAAAGTGGTTTACTAGAGAAGGCGTGTCGTCATTGGCAGGCGGACGGAAAGAAACTCACCAGGATGCAATGAATCAATTCCACGCCAGGTGCGACATGCAAATGCATCAGAGCGTCGACCACGCCCGGTGCAAAAGAATGGCTGCGCTTTGGCACGCTGGATTTAAATGCATCGACTAGATATGCACTGTTCGCATGCATGTAGGCATAACATACATGTATACATGTATATATGGGAAACATGTGTAATGGTACTCCCCGCCCCCCGGGTGCCCTATTTGGATTTGTTGGATTTTGTTGGCCAAGCATGGGCACCAAGAAAGGGGTGTGTGACAAAATTCCGAATCGGTATTAGCTTCTGGAGCCAAGATCCAAGATTACCGGAAGACGGTTGAGGACATCTTTCCATGAGTGCCCCCGCCCTTGAAATCTAAGTACCGGTATGATTGCTGAATCTAAACTGCTGAATACAGTGTTTGGACCCAACCTGCCGGATTTCTGCAGGGGGCTAGAAGAATCACCCTGAAATGTAAATACTGGTATTTATTTGGATTCCATCTAAATACCGGTATTTAGATGCTGGATCCAAGATCCAGATTTGCGGCCGACGTTTGGGGGAAATCTTGAATCTCGGATCCAGGATCTACCTACTGGTATTTAGTTGTTTTTGTGTTTTTTTGTTGGGGGGGGAAGTTGACAGGCAAGTTTCACAGCCGTTTGCACGGGCAAGCAATGCTCAATATCGTTTTCAGGGGGCAATTGTGATTCTTGAGCCTTGGAAAGATGCTTTCCCTTTTTTGTTCCACGATACCCAAATCTCCTCTGTTGGTTCTATTTCTATAATTTCCCGGGGAGTTGCTTTCTGTCCAAAACCAGAGTAAAAGGGCTTCACGCACTATACTGTAGTCTCAAGCTCACTTTTACTCCTTGACAAGGCGAGCGGCAGACAAAACAAGAAGCAGAACGGACGAGCAGAGAAAATAAAGAAGAAGAGTAAGAAATAGGGAAACAGAAGGAGGGCGAGAAAGAGAAGAAGAAACAGGAATGAGAAAGAGTAAGGAGGTAAAGCAGAGAAAATAAACGCGAGAGAGAAAGAGAACATGGAAAAGAAAGCGGAGTAAAAAGGGAGAGAGCAAGGCAGATAAATACTATCAAGTAACAAAAGAGAGAGAGAGAGAGAGAGAGAAGACGAAGAGGGAAGAGGAAAGAGAAAGAGAAGGAGAAAGAAGGGAACGGAGAAAAGTCAAGTACAGAAAGCGGAAGAGAAAAAGGATGAAAGAGAAAGATACAGAGGAAGCGCAAGAAGAAAAGAAAGAGTGAAGAGAAAGAGGATGGTAAAGAGAAAGAGGAAGGAGAAAGAGGCACAAAAGAGAAAGAAGGAGAGAGACAAAGAGAGAGTGAAGAGAAGAGAAGAGAAGAGAGGAGAGTAGAGGAGAGGAGAGGAGAGAGAGAGAGAGAAGAAGAGAGCGAGAGACAGAATGAGAACGAGAAAGAGGAATAAAGCGAACGATTAAAATTCAACAACAGAGAGAGAGAGAGAGAGAGAGAGAGAAGACGAGGAGGGAAGAGGAAAGATAAAGAGAAGAAGAAAGAAGGGAACGGGGAAAAGTCCAGTACAGAAAGCGGAAGAGAAAAAGGATGAAAGAGAAAGATACAGAGGAAGCGAAAGAAGAAGAAAAGAAAGAGTGAAGAGAAAGAGGATGGTAAAGAGACGGAGGAAAGGGAAACAAGAAGAGAAAGAAGGAGAGAGACAAAGAGAAAGTGAAGAGAAGAGAAGAGAAGAGAGGAGAGGAGAGGAGAGAAAGAGAGAGAGAGGGAGAGTAGGAGAGAGCCAGAGAGAGAATGAGAGCGAGAAAGAGGAAGAAAGCGGACGATAAAAAGTGTTCAACAAAGGAGAGAGAGAGAGAGAGAGAGAAGACGAAGAGGGAAGAGGAAAGAGAAAGAGAAGGAGAAAGAAGGGAACGGAGAAAAGTCAAGTACAGCAAGCGGAAAGGAAAAAGGATGAAAGAGAAAGATACAGAGGAAGCGAAAGAAGAAGAAAAGAAAGAGTGAAGAGAAAGAGGATGGTAAAGAGACGGAGGAAAGAGAAAGAGGCACAAAAAGAGAAAGAAGGAGAGAGACAAAAAGAGAGTGAAGAGAAGAGAAGAGAAGAGAAGAGAAGAGAGGAGACGAGAGGAGAGGAGAGGAGAGGATAGAGAGAGAGAGAAGGAGAGAGCGAGAGAGAGGAAGAAAGCGGACGATTAAAAAAATCAAGAAAAGAGAGAGAGAGAGAGAGAGAGAGAGAGAGACAAGAGGGAAGAGGAAAGAGAAAGAGAAGTAGAAAGAAGGGAACGGAGAAAAGTCTAGTACAGAAAGCGGAAGAGAAAAAGGATGAAAGAGAAAGATACAGAGGAAGCGAAAGAAGAAGAGAAGAAAGAGTGAAGAGAAAGAGGATGGTAAAGAGAAGGAGGAAAGAGAAACAAAAAGAGAAAGAAGGAGAGAGACAAAGAGAGAGTGAAGAGAAGAGAAGAGAAGAGAGGAGAGGACAGGAGAGGAGAGGAGAGGAGAGGAGAGAGAGAGAGAGAGAGAGAAGGAGAGAGCGAGAGAGAGAATGAGAGCGAGAAAGAGGAAGAAAGCGGACGATAAAAAGAAAAGCAACAAAAACGAGAGAGAGAGAGAAGACGAAGAGGGAAGAGGAAAGAGAAAGAGAAGGAGAAAGAAGGGAACGGAGAAAAGTCCAGTACAGAAAGCGGAAAAGAAAAAGGATGAAAGAGAAAGATACAGAGGAAGCGAAAGAAGAAGAAAAGAAAGAGTGAAGAGAAAGAGGATGGTAAAGAGAAGGAGGAAAGAGAACCAGGCAGAAAAAGAGAAAGAAGGAGAGAGACAAAGAGAGAGTGAAGAGAAGAGAAGAGAAGAGAAGAGAATAGAAGAGAAGAGAAGAGAGGAGAGGAGAGAGAGAGAGAGAGAGAAGGAGAGAGCGAGAGAGAGAATGAGAACGAGAAAGAGGAAGAAAGCGGACGATAAAGTGTTCAACAAAGGAGAGAGAGAGAGAGAGAGAGAGAAGACGAGGAGGGAAGAGGAAAGATAAAGAGAAGTAGAAAGAAGGGAACGGAGAAAAGTCAAGTACAGAAAGTGGAAGAGAAAAAGGATGAAAGAGAAAGATACAGAGGAAGCGAAAGAAGAAGAAAAGAAAGAGTGAAGAGAAAGAGGATGGTAAAGAGAAGGAGGAAAGAGAAACAAAAAGAGAAAGAAGGAGAGAGACAAAGAGAGAGTGAAGAGAAGAGAAGAGAAGAGAGGAGAGGACAGGAGAGGAGAGGAGAGGAGAGGAGAGAGAGAGAGAGAGAGAGAAGGAGAGAGCAAGAGAGAGAGAATGAGAGCGAGAAAGAAGAAAGCGGACGATAAAAAGAAAAACAACAAAAGAGAGAGAGAGAGAGAGAGACAGACAGAAGACAAAGAGGGAAGAGGAAAGAGAAAGAGAAGGAGAAAGAAGGGAACGGAGAAAAGTCAAGTACAGAAAGCGGAAGAGAAAAAGGATGAAAGAGAAAGATACAGAGGAAGCGAAAGAAGAAGAAAAGAAAGAGTGAAGAGAAAGAGGATGGTAAAGAGAAGGAGGAAAGAGAACCAGGCAGAAAAAGAGAAAGAAGGAGAGAGACAAAGAGAGAGTGAAGAGAAGAGAAGAGAAGAGAAGAGAAGAGAATAGAATAGAAGAGAAAAGAAGAGAGGAGAGGAGAGAGAGAGAGAGAGAGAGAAGGAGAGAGCGAGAGAGAGAATGAGAGCGAGAAAGAGGAAGAAAGCGGACGATAAAAAGTGTTCAACAAAGGAGAGAGAGAGAGAAGACGAGGAGGGAAGAGGAAAGATAAAGAGAAGGAGAAAGATGGGAACGGAGAAAAGTCAAGTACAGAAAGCGGAGGAGAAAAAGGATGAAAGAGAAAGATACAGAGGAAGCGAAAGAAGAAGAAAAGAAAGAGTGAAGAGAAAGAGGATGGTACAGAGAAGGAGGAAAGAGAAACAAAAAGAGGAAGAAGGAGAGAGACAAAAAGAGAGTGAAGAGAAGCGAAGAGAAGAGAGGAGAGGAGAGAGAGAGAGAGAGAGAGAGAGAGAGAGAGAGAGAGAGAGAGAAGGAGCTAGCGACAGATGGAAGAGGAAAGCGAAAGAGAAGGAGAAAGAAGGGAACGGAGAAAAGTGAAGTACAGACAGCGGAAGAGAAAAAGGATGAAAGAGAAAGATACAGAGGAAGCAAAAAAAGAAGAGACATAGTGAGGAGAAAGAGGATGGTAAAGAGAAGGAAGAAAGAGAAAGAGGCACAAAAACAGAAAGAAGGAGAGAGACAAAGAGAGAGTGAAGACAGAGAAGAGAAGAGAAGAGAAGAGAGGAGAGGAGAGGAGAGGAGAGAGAGAGAGAGAGAAGGAGAGAGCGAGAGAGAGAATGAGAGCGAGAAAGAGGAAGAAAGCGGACGATAAAAAGAAAAACAACAAAAAAGAGAGAGAGAGAGAGGGAAGAGGAAAGAGGAAAGAGGAAAGAGAAACAGAGAGAACGATAGCGAGAAAGAGGAAGAAAGCGGACGATTAAAAGAAATCAACAAGAGAGAGAGAGAGAGGGGAAAAAGAAAAGGCGCGCCAAAGTGTAGTTCCTACATCTTCGAAACTCCCCCCCCCCCCATCCCCCCCCTCATCCGCCCGGCTTCGCTGGCTGTTGAGATTAGGGTTTAGACTGTGGCTTGGATGGGGTGGGGGGGGGGGCTAAGGGCCTAACCTTGAAGCATGCAAAAGAGTACGCTTGAAGCATGCCAGAGTGCGGCCTGGCAAGTTGAACTGGTGGATTGCATGGTTTCCCAAGCAGAGCTGGCAACATGACCGCTCCCAGATTTGCAGACGGCCTCAGCTGCGGCAGAGTTAGATTGCATGTTGTCAAAAAGCCACGTGCGCAGCGCGAAGCGGAATCCAACGCCCTGAGAGCCCGATGAAAAGCATGTCGAAAGCCGCGCCATGGCTGGAGGCTCGGGGAAGGGAGTAGTCGCAAGGGCGGGATGTAGAAACAAAAACAAAGTAACAATGCGACTTCTCCGCCTTGGCAGGCTACAACTTGCATGCGCAGGATTGGAAGTTGTGCAGCGATTTTTCTTGGCCCATGCCGCTCCTGGTTGCGCGGGTTCGCCATTTGGCGAAGCAGTTCTCACGGAGCTCGGGGAAGAACTGGGAAACGGAGACTGAGCGCATCTCGGCTTTGGCTCTTTTACAAGACCGACCGCTGGACTTTTTTCGGGGAAGCTGGATCTGTTCATCCATTTCAGGGCGCTTTCTTCATTCGACATAGGGAGAAGCCAGGGAAATGAGATGGACATCCTGGTTTTGTGAGGACCATTCCTGTGGTTCTTAGGATCGTTTCCGTTTTTCTTCGGACCAGTCCTGTTTTCATTAGGACCGTGTTCCTATGACCATTCCTGATTTTCGTGGGACAATTCTTTGTTTTTTGCCGGACCAGTCCTGTTTTCCCGGTTTTGCTTGGGACCATTTCTGTTTGTTCGTTATGACCGTTTTCCTAGGACCATAACTGTTTGTTTAGAACCATTCCTGGGTTTCTGAGGGCCATCCCTGTTCTGTCTTAGGACCAGTCCTGTTGTTTCTTCGGACCAGTCGTGTTTTCAGTCGGGGACCATTCCAGTTTTTTTCTTCGAACAAACAACCAGCACTGACCAACCCACTTTCGGCATGGAATACACGCCTAGTGTGCCAGCGGTATCTGATGCTGGGCCTTATGCAGGGATGAGCTGCTTTCAATGCTTTTTCAGCTGCCAGGCACAGGCTTCACCCTCGTGCGAGATAGAGTGTGTGTGTGTGTGTGTGCTTTGGTCGAATCGTGGACCTCAAAACAACCAGGCCTGGGTTGCAAGAATGTTGGCCCTTGCTATGGTTACCTTTCGAAGAAACACAAACTCGCAGCAGCTCTCCAACTCATCCAATGTTTGTTTTTGTGCATTTTGCTTGGATGTTAGGACTTTAACTTTTTGCCAGCCAATGGGGTTTCCATCAAACCACTAAAAGTTAAACTTTTAGCTGGGGAGCAGAAAGCAACCGAGTTTGTATCCGTTTTGCAACCTTCCCTTGAGACCTTGTTGCGACTTTACTCAGCCAGGCCGCACACCTGCTTCTCATGCTGTCCGGAGATAGCCTGAGGGGTCAAAGCCGCTTGACTGATCCAGCGCGCGCAGTTTGGCCGTTGATGTGCCTTGAGCAGCTTGTGTTGACAAATGAAAGGTGCTGAGGAAATCCTCGTAGGCACCACCTAAGAAACCCAGGTTTCTGATGAGTCCACTGTCAATACCAACAAACAATAGCTTCAACCATGGTTTCATTTCGTGGTGCGATTTCGCAACCATCCGAAGTATTACACCGCTTTTCTGGATCTGCGTTTGGCGTGGCTATGTTTTTAGCTGGGAGGTACTTGGCTTTGCCAGGAGGCACCGCCGTTTGAAAACGGCTGACCATGCGGCGAGCTTTTCTTTTTGCGCAGCAATAGCCCCAACGAAAACCAACGAGGTCATGGGGCGAATTGCCGGTGTCCATGCGCTGGCCACGCTTTTGGACTTTGGGCAAGTGACGACAGTTTTTTCACTGGCATACGCACTGAGCGAGAAGCCACTCCAACCGTTGTCAAGCTGCAAGCAGAGCGCTGTTACGCCCCCCCCCCCCCCCACTTTTAAGGTGAGCCCGGGAATGCCTTTTGTGATGACTTTCATGGTTCCACGTTTCCACAGTTTGAGCTTGGAAGCCGGCTACCCCTTAGCCACCCTGCCCCTACGGCGGGGGTATTTTGTGTTCAAACTGATTGCAACCTCCTCGGCTAGGCGAGCGTGCAGAAGTTTGACGGGTGAAATTTAAGTGGGTGTGTCTTTTTGAGCTGGTACCCATGTTCGGCTGATTTTTAAAGGCGAATATCTGGAACACAACAAATTTTGAGGGGGCCTATTTTGAGACAAGCCCAAGCGAAGCAACCAGGCCCCAATCGCCAGAGGAAAACGGATGCTTAAACAAACCGTTGAACCTTGTTCCAACCGGTTCCAGGTAACCTTAGTTGGTGGGGTTGGATTGGTGGCATGGATTTGGGGACCCCCAAGCTTTTGTAGAGAGTACAGGGGAAACGACTGAACCGCCAAACCACCGATTCGGCTCCAAGCCACCAATCAGGAAGTTGGTTGGCAGCCAACGCCGATTCGCCTTTCGGACTTTGTAGGTACCCCCGTTCTGCAGAGACGCCTTCGGGCCGAGACAATGGGAGCGGACATTAGTGCCCAAGCAGTCCAGCTCAGTTTGCGCCCCTTAAAGGGAACACGATTTTTTAGGGGTTAAGCAACTATTTGAGGGTGGTTTTCTTTGTTCGGCATTTAGAAGGCAATTGTTGAGGATATCGCTATGACTACCACACAGTCATGCTCCCGAGTACTTGGTGTCTCCGTGCGCCACCTTTTGTCCGCATAGTTTCACACACCACAATTGACCCAAGGGGGCCGGCGTTAAACAGAAGCAGGTTCCACGGAGAGGGTGGGCATTTCCACGACCGCTGCGCTTGTTCCACTTGCTACGTCGCTTGAGTTTCCGGGGAATTGGGACACTTGCAAGCCAGTGCCGAAGAGACTCGGAGACTTGATTTGGAGGCCCCAAAAAGTTGAAAACCTAGGTGTCCTTTTTGGTTGCTTTAGTAGAAAAAATCGAGGGCGATTCCTGGTTTACCTGTTGGTTTAATCAAGGGCCATCTATTTCCCCCAAAAAGGACTCCTATGGTTGAAAAAACTTGGGGCTGTACGCCTGACCCCCTTTCTGTCAGAAAATCCCAGCGCATGGCAGAAACCACCTTTGGTCCATTTTTGTTTCAGTGGTGAACTGTCGGTGAACAAGAAAACCCAAAGGTTCAATCACCTTCTATGGATCTACATGAGGGGTCAACAGGGGGTCAGAGTACTTCCTCACAAGGCCACTTGGACCCATAGGGGAACTGGTCACCTTGCCTCCCGCTTGTTTGGGTTGCGCCGCTGCTTTTTGTGTCAGACGCACGTTTCCCCCCCCCCCGGATCTCAGGTTCCCTCACGGACCTTTGGCGATCTCCCCAACAAATTATCGCTTCCTTCAGTGTCTGAGGATTCTCAGCCCATTCTAGGGGTACCTCCCCCATTTCCAGGGATCCTTTGAAAACCTCCGGAGACGGGACAACGTTCGGTTGAAAAGAAGGACCGATGAATCGAGTCATGCGCACTCAAGGTCGATCCCTCGCGAGCTGATCGATGTCATGGAAGGCGCCATGCGCCAGCGAGGTCGCTTTCTCGGGCATCCCCGATTCGGTGGACGGATTCGGGCAATGTTGCAACGAAGGCGTTACCATGACCAGATCCAAGATCTGAATATGGCGCGAGATCATGTCACCCTGTTTCTTTTTTTCTCAGCCAGTGCCAGCACTTGGTTCACATTTCTTTTTATGGAGGCCTGATGCCTTTTTTGACCCACCTGGTATAGCCTCCAAGTTTGGCAGGTTTAGACACAGGCAACGGCACATGCACTGTAGGCATGGGCTCGCCTGGCAACGGGGGCGTACAACCAAGATGTTGGCGACGTTGAAAACCGAAAGGGGACATTGGTAGAAACCAGCTACGGGAAAATTGCCAGAATACCCGCCAGAGACAAGGATTTCAACTCGTGTAGCTGGCTTCAGGAATCTTGAGAACCCCCGTCCTCCACAGCTCCCAAGGAATGGTTGGAACGTGGCAAGAGGGCGCTCTCTGGATGTAGACATTGTAGACCTCGACTTTGGTTGACACTGAGTTGCCTCAATTCCGCCTTCGTGGGAGTTTCCGGGGTATGACTCATTGGCATGGCTGAGGGAATCCATTGAAGGGGAACGCTTAGCTGCCCTGTAGCTTGGCTCCAGGGCAGCCGGAAGTTTTGGAATGGCATTTTTGAGTTCAATCGCAGGCAGCCATGTGGTTTTCGCTGCGTATGGAGCGGTCTGCTTACATCATTGGACAGAGCGAGCTGTTCGTCTGCAAAGCGGAGCCATTGAGTGTACACTCTGCCTGGAGCTATTCAGAAGGCTTTCTGTGCCGGCCTCTCCGGTCAGTGAAGAGTGTCAACGTCGGGTGCATGAACGACGGAGCACTGCTGTCAAAGAGATAGCAGTGTTGTGGTCCATGATCCTCGACGTTTTTTTAGTGTCCCTCTTGGCAGCACTGGCTTGTGGCTTCGAGCTTCCAACGCTGGGCGGCATGGCACTACTGGTCTCGTTATCCACTGGACGCATGATTATCAAGAGCCTGGGGGATCTGCATGACCTGAGCCCGGACAGGTTGGACCGTGACATGACGGTGGTGAGTGCTTTGGTCTTCACGGCGACCTTCGGGATGCCCCGGGAGCTCATGGCGGGGTGCTACATGGCCCGGATTATGTGCTTCAGCTTTGCAAACAGCAAGCTGGGAAACAAGGTGAACGTCATGCTCGCTCCCTGCTATGTGCTGTCGCATTGGTTGAGCAGCTCAACGAATGCGCCGCTGGAATCTCTGATCTTCTATTGCCTCAACGAGATCGTGGCGGTTGCACTCATGATCCTGGTGGTGACAAATTTGGAGACCAAGGAAACTGACCTGGCCATGGCCACCCTGGAGCTAGAGGCCAAGGTGCAAGAGGTTCAGGAGGCAGAAAGGGAAGGCGGCGCAGCTCAGAGGTTGCTGGCAGTGACCTGCGATGCCTCAGTGCGCCTGACCCACGACCTGAAGATTCAGACGCCCAGCCGGAGCTTATTGGACTTGCTGATGTGCCACTTTGGATCGATCACCACGAACCAACTGGACGGGACTCCATTCATGCGATACATTGCTGCGGCAGACCACCAGAGGTTCACAGATTTCATCGATGAATCATCCAGAGCCTCGGCCCCGCCACGGTCGCTGCACATCGACATGAAGGATTCCAGCGGGGTAACCTTCGCTACGGAGCTGCTTCATGTGACTGTTCCCAGTTTGAGGGGAGAGAAGCAGGAGCACCTCATCGGCATCATGAACACCGATGGGCAGAGTGCTGATCGAGCTGGACGGACAGAGTTAGAGCCAGCAAGCTGTCAGCGGCTTCCACAGCCGTTGCTGGCCCTCAACCAGCAAGTGCCAGGCCTGGGCGCGTGCGACATGAAGCACATTCTCGGATATGGAGTGCGATCAGCAGCGGCTTCCCGCCCCGTTAGCGGTGGCAGTAAGAGTTCCAGCAGTAAGAGTTCCAGCTCGGCCAGCAGTAAACGCAAAAGGCGAAGCTTGACAAAGCTGGATAGCCTTGAGAGGATCAATATTGTTGTCGATATGAAGAGCATGCAGGAAGACTTCTTGATCCGCTCTCTCACGTTAACATTCTCCTCCGCCGCAACATGTGCCACAGACGAGTTGCCAAACCTGCTGGAATGGCTGAAGCCCAACTACAAGCAAACAGTGCAAAACTGGATACAGTCCCAAGCCAATGCACATTTTGCAGGAGAAAGCTGCAAGGAGCTTCCACTGCGAGGCATCAAGATGATCTCACCCTTCCCATCACATTCGTCCTTGCTGGTTGGAGAGTTCCAGATGCGAGAAATTGAGGATGCAATTGAGGAGGAGATGTCATCGCCACACTCCGGCTCCGCTTCCTCCATGCCCATCATGTACATAAACTTAGAGCTTCGGCAGTTGTTTCTGCACTGACCTGGCAAGCTCTCGACAGGGTCAGAGGGCATCGGATCAGTCGCAGGTCCCCCTCTCGCCAAAAAAGTGTGGACTCCTGTGCTGTCACAGCAAACATGGGCTTTGGCAGGTTGCCAGTGGAAAATTCCCGCAAAAAAATACGGATGTCTTATAGGCGTGCATGTTTTTGCTTTTTTTTACCCGAATGCCAGGGACTGAGCTCATTGACGACTTGGCAAGGTGGGGAGTGTGGGAACTTTGGCCACGGTTCCATTCATCGCCTTGCGTTTGTGCAGGCGCTTGTGCCTATACCACCTTGCTCCGCGCGACAAATATCCGGTCTTAGCACATGCTTAGCATCCCGGTGAGCTCAAGCACAGACAAATCATGCAAGATCTATATCATGAACTCGGAGACGTAGGTGGTGTCCAACCCTGGTGTTTTGACAATAGCGGTGTCTCGGCTGTTTCCAGGTGTGTGTGTGTGTGTGTTAAAGGTTTGGTGTTCTGCTGGTGGTCCATGAGAGCTGTGGTGTGCTGACATGGTGGGAGTTGCGAGGCATCAAGATCTGCGGGAATTTGGAAGGACCCGTGTTACGGCCTCTCATGGCCAGTAGCTCTAAGAGACAAGATGAACGAATGAGCGCATGCGAGAAAACATGCGTGGGTGTGCAGGGCATCTCTCCGCGGGTTTTGGTTTTTCGGGCGACATCAGTTGGCGTGAGGTGCAGATTGAGTGGCAGGCGCAGCGCTTTGTTGGATTAATGCTCAGATTTCCTAACCCGCGCAACACTTTGGCATGCAAACACATGCTATACGGGCAAAGATGTTTGAACTTGCGCCAAACGACTTCGCCGGCTCCACTGGGATATTTGTTGGATGCGAGAAAGAACGTGTTTTGCACGCAAACACGTGATGTGTTTTCGTTTGGAAGTCAAACAGCCAGCAATGTCATGATTCAAAGGATCTTGAACTTCACTGTTCTTGGCAAGTTGTTTGGTTGTTTGGTTCTGTTCATTTTTAGAAGGGGGCTGCAAAAAGCCAAGATTTTGCTACCATACGAAGGTTTGTGAAGTGAAAGAAGGTGCAAGCTCTCGTTCAAATTGGCAGGCTGGATGTCGCTGCACCTTCTTCCACGCGCAGAAGACCACCTGAACGCACCAGAAAGCCAGGCCAGGCAAGACGCGTACGCCCAGCTTTTGCATACTGTGGATGGACGAAATCCTGCACCACCCAAGAACCCCTGCAATGATGATTCCCCTGTAACTACCAACAAACATAGGTTTTCCATGGTTTCAAAGTGGTGCAGGATTTCGTCCATCCACAGTAGCTCCTGCGGGTTGTGGAGTGGAGCTCTGCGCATTTGCGCAATTCTAGCCGCGGTTTGAGCCGAGCTAAACGGTACTTTGTTTCAGAATGGTGGGCGTCGTTGAGGTCGGGTCGGGCATGAGCGCAAGGGTTTTGCTCCTTCGAGTGTTTCAGTTCTCCCTACTTGTCTCTGGGGTACATGGACATTTAAATTGCTGCATAGGTCCTCCTATGCTGCATTCTCACTCGGTTTTCCGCATTGCGTTTTGCTCCAGCTTGGCATGCTGGTACGGCCAGCATGGAATACATTGGTTCCATGATCAGTGGCAGCAACCTTTGCATTGCTGGTTATGGAGCTGCCTCTCTACATCAATGGGTGCAGCGAGCCGTTCGCCTGCATGGCGGCAAGGCTGTTGACCACCAGGTCTGCGTTGACGTGTTTCAAAGGCTCAACATGCCGCCTTCTGTCCTCAGTGAAAAAGGCAAACATTGGGTACATGAACGGCGGCGCACTGCTCTCAGAGAAGTTGCAGTGATGTGGTCTTTGATTCTTGACCTGTTCATGCTGTCGCTTTTTGCAGCACAGCTTTCCGGCTATGAGATGCCTGTCGTGGAAGGTTTCGCGTTGCTTATCACGGTACGGAAAGCATGCTCGATCATCGGCAAGTTGGCCGATATGGATGCAGACCTAACGCCTGACCGATTGAACCGTGATATGGCAATCGTGAATGTTCTGATTCTTGGCGCATCGCTGGCATGCCTCGAGAGCTGCTACCTTGTGGCTATTTGGCTCGGACATTGTGTCTCAGCCTCACAAACAGTGAGTTTAGCAACAAGGTGAACATCAGGCTTTCTCCCTTCTATTTGCTGTCGCACTGGCTTCACACTCCTCCAGATGCGCCATTGATCTCGCTGCTTTTCCATATCATCAGCGAAGTTGTGGCAGTAGCACTCATCACACTTCTTTTACAAGCTTTGGATACCAAGGAGATTGACCTGGCTGTGGCCACCCTAGAGCTAGAGGCCAAGGTGCAAGAGGTTTAGGAGGCGGAAAGGGAAGGCGGCGCAGCTCAGAGGTTGCTGGCAGTGACCTGCGATGCCTCAGTGCGCCTGACCCACGACCTGAAGATTCAGACGCCCAGCCGGAGCGTATTGGACTTGCTGATGTGCCACTTTGGATCGATCACCACGAACCAACTGGACGGGACTCCATTCATGCGATACATTGCTGCGGCAGACCACCAGAGGTTCACAGATTTCATCGATGAATCATCCAGAGCCTCGGCCCCGCCACGGTCGCTGCACATCGACATGAAGGATTCCAGCGAAGTAACCTTCGCTACGGAGCTGCTGCATGTGACTGTTCCCAGTTTGAGGGGAGAGAAGCAGGAGCACCTCATCGGCATCATGAACACCGATGGGCAGAGTGCTGATCGAGCTGCCAAGCCGCACAATGGCTGAAGCACATCCTTGGCTACGGGGTACAGTCAAGGCCCGCTGCCCAAAATCGAAGCTTCAGCAGGAGCTCCAGCACAGCCAGCAGCAAGCAGGCCAAAGTAAAACGCTTGGACAGCCTGGAGAAGATCAATCTCTTTATCGATGTAAGCAGCATGGAAGAGGATTACCTGATTCGCTCTCTCACGATGACCTTCTCCTCTCCAGCGACATGTTCCACAGATGAGTTGCCAAACCTGCTGGAGTGGGTGAAGCCCAACTACCGGCAGCAGGTGCAAAACTGGATCCAGTCCCATGCCAACGCGCACTTCGCCGGAGAAAGCTGCAAGGAGCTTCCGCTGCGAGGGGTCAAGATGATCTCACCCTTCTCATCGAGTTCCTCCTTGCTGGTTGCAGAGCTGCAGGTGAGTCAAATCACGGAGGGGGAGGGAGAAGACTGGGGCACCTGCTCCGACTCCTCCACGCCCGACATGTACATGGATCTCGAGCTTCGACAGCTTTTTGCACTCTAAAGCCAAATGCCGGGGCATGGGGTATCCCTCCCCAAGAATTCGACAGACCTGCAGTCTGACAACATATTTCAGTGGTTTCATGATCGAGTAGTGACAAGTGCTGCATCGTTCTGAATGCGGTCTCAGCAAAAATCCCAATCGCCTGAGGCCCATGTGTTTCACCATGGAACCAATCTTGATTGCTATTGGGTTGGATCTTTAGACTTTGACTTTTTGGGTTGAATGAATCAGGGGTTGTCCGTCGAGCCCACGAAAAATGTTCCACTTTTTGTGGGGTGGTTGCAGCAATCGAAGGAGATCCCTAGCCGGTTTCTTTTCGGGTCCCGACTCCCGAAATCAGGATCATTTGCGAACGAGGCAAATCGCAGGTCTCCAAGGAAAGGACGCGCACGTGCTCATGCAAGATTCTGTGCTTCAATGGAAATATATGGAAATAGAGGCTACGGAGTGGGAGCCTTCACTCATTGTGTCGCACTGAGTTTGAACACCAAGTATTGATCCTTGCGACGATCTCAGACGGAGAAAACCTATTTGGACTGCAAGGCAGCTTTCATATGCCATCGCGGGCAAATGGAAAGGGACCATCGGATCAACAAGGATGCTTAATTGGGACATTCTTGAAATGTTTCGAGAACTAAAATAATATATGAAATATGATGTATAACATATATATATATATATGTATGTACGTATATTTAGATATATATATATATATATATATATATATATATATATTTTAACGCCTCCGGCTCAGGCCGCCGACATTACAGGCCTGCTTTCTTATTTGCGTCCCTTTGGAATTGTCCCCTTGCCCCCCTTCCCCTCTAAGATTTTCGCCCCCCTTTCCCTGTTGAGATCCATTCCCCCTTTCCCCCCTAAGGCCCTTTCTCCCTCTGAGATTTTTCCCTTTTCCTCCCTAAGATGTTTTCCCCCCTCTCCCTGTTGAGATCCTTTCCCCCCTTTCCCCTCTAACCCCCTTTCCCCCCGAAGGCCTTTTCCCCCCGTGAGATCTTTTCCCTTTCCTCCCTGACATGTTTCCCCCCCTTTCCCTGTTGAGATCCTTTCCCCCCTTTCCCCCCTAAGGCCTTTCCCCTTGCTGAGATCTTCTCCCTGTTCCTCCCTAAGATCCTTTGCCCCCTTTTTGTTGAGATCCTTTCCCCCCTTCCCCCTAAGGCCAGATCTTCTCCCTTTTCCTTCCTAAGATTTTTTCCCCCCTTTCCCTGTTGAGATCCTTCCCACCCTTTCCCCCCTAAGGCCTTTCCCCCCCTGAGAGCTTCTCCCTTTTCCTTCCTAAGATCTTTCCCCCCCTTTCTCTGTTGGCATTTTTTCCCCCAGATCTTCTCCCTTTCCTCCCTAAGATCTTTTCCACCCCTTTCTCCCCTTCCTCCCCCTAAGGCCTTTGCCCCCAGATCTTCTCCTTTTCCTCCCTAAGATGTTTCCTCCCCGTTCCTTTCCCCCTTTCCCCCCTAACCTTTCCTCCCCTGAGATCTTCTCCCTTTTCCTCCCTAAGATCTTTTGCCACCTTTCTCTGTTGGCATTTTTTCCCCCAGATCTTCTCCCTTTCCTCCCTAAGATCTTTTCCACCCCTTTCTCCCCTTCCTCCCCCTAAGGCCTTTGCCCCCAGATCTTCTCCTTTTCCTCCCTAAGATGTTTCCTCCCCGTTCCTTTCCCCCTTTCCCCCCTAACCTTTCCTCCCCCAACATCTTCTCCCTTTTCCTCCCTAAGGATGTTTTGCCACCTTTCCCTGTTGAGATCCTTTCCCCCCCGGTTCCCCCCTAAGGCCTTTTCAGATCTTCTCCCTTTTCCTCCCTAAGATCCTTTGCCCCCTTTCCCTGTTGAGATCCCTTCCCCCTTTCCCCCCTAAGGCCTTTCCCCCCCTGAGATCTTAAGGCCTTTTCCCCCCCGAGATCTTCTCGCTTTTCGGTCCTTTCCCCCCCTGTCCCCCCCAAGGCCTTTTCCCCCCCCTGAGATGATATCCTTTTACCTCCTTTTGTTTTCCCCTCATTCCCTGTTGAGATCCTTTCCCCCCTTTCCCCCCTAAGGCCTTTTCCCCCCTGAGATCTTCTCCCTTTTCCTCCCTAAGAGCTTTTCCCACCTTTCTTTATTGAGATCCTTTCCCCCCTGTCCCCCCTAAGGCCTTTTCCCACCCTGAGTTCTTCTCCGTTTTCCTCCCTAAGATTTTTTCCCCCCTTTCCCGCCTAAGATCCTTCCCCCCTAAGGCCTTTTCCCCCCAAGATCTCCACCCTTCTCTTCCCAAAGTCTTTTTCCCCCTTTCCCGTTTGAGATCCTGTCCCCCCATTGCCCCCTGGGGCCTGTTCCCCCCGAGAAAGATTTCCCTTTTCCTCCCAAAGATCTTTTCCCCCCTTTCCCCCCTAAGGCATTTTTTCCCCAGATCTTCTCCCTTTCCTCCCTGAGATCTTTCCCCCCCTTTCCTGTTGAGATCCTTTCCCCCTTTCCCCCCTTCATTTCCAGATGTTCCTTCACCAGCATGGGCAACATCCCCAGCATCACTTGCATCATCCGCATCCTTGGCAGGCGCTGATGCGGATGATGCAGGTGATGCTGGCGATGTGCCGCTGGAGCTGCTAAGGATGCGAAAGCGGACCCGGGCGGAATCGAACACCCCAATGTTTTTGACAAACTGAGTTGCGCAAGCCCGCGCACAAGCGTCTTCGAATCACCACGTGGTAGTCTGAAATGGTGCCCCTGGGGAAGGGTAAGGGGAGGGGTAACAGGTAAAGAGGTAAGGAGCATTTCTTATGTCCAACACGCCGTCTGTTGTCGGCGGATATATGTATATATATATATATATATATGCTACCCTACCCGAAATGTCTACCATGTTGTTGGTGTCAATGGTATTTGCGGTGTTTTCTGCATTTTTGTGCTTTGGGGAAAGCAGCAGAAGAAGGGTGCCTTATTAACTTCTATTTTCTCTTCTATCTAGAAACTGGAAAAACATCCTGGGGCGGTCCTCTTAAGATCTAATTTGAAGTAAGAATCACAATTAAACATGTTCTTCCGAAAGGACACCCTATTTACATCATCTTTAACACTAGAGATGATATTCGGACGTGTCACTGTGAATTTCAATGTGGATTTCAAGTAGAACATTGGAAAACTCAGTCCTAGAAAAGGAGACCCCTTTAAAATCTAATTTGGAATAGGGCTTCCAACTACAGATGCTATTTAAGCAAAAACATACTTACATGTTCGTCAAATTAGAAAGTCTAGTAGAACTATGTCCTTATGAAATTCGATTTGAATTCTATTCAAACAAAAAAACACAGAAATCGTTTCAATATCCAATGTCACAATAAGACACTTAAAATACATTGTTTGAGGATGAGCGCATGTTTATAATTCCACTTGTCTAGAAATCCTGTTAGGAGTATGTCCTTATCAAATGCCAAATCAATTCCATTAGAGAATTGAAAGGCACATCCCAGAAAAGAGAGAGACCCCCAATTGAACACCTTCTTTTATATCACGCCTATCTAAATGATCGTTAAACTAAACGGGCAAACATGGAAAACGGTTCTAAGTCCAATGTCAAGTAAGCTGGACGTTTGATTACTACTACACTTTGAGAAATCCGATAGGATGATTTCCTTATTGTTATTGATTCACAAGAATAATCTAAGTTGAAATAAACAGTCCAATTGAAAAGAGTTGAAAAGGCGATCCTAAATCACTTTTATCGGATTTACAGGTATTTGCAGTGCCCTGCCTTTTTTGGGCTTTGGGGACAGCAGCAAAAAAAAGCTCATTTCCAAAGACAACCTGGACGCTTCAGGCTTCAAACTTTGTCCAGGGTTTCTTGAATCAGGTCTGAATGAAGTTTCAGTCGGCTTCGATGTGCCTCTGCCATATTTCTTTTCTGAGGTTTGGCCAGAAGATGCAAAAAAAGGGGGCCAGGCCCCCAAATTGTTTGAACCTTTTAAACCGTTTACAGGGGCGCAAACCGCTTGAACCGTTCAAACCGTTTAAACCGTTTTTAACCCTTTCTCACAGGAAAGCCCCCCCCCTCCCCAGGGTTCTACCTGAGAGAGGGTTCAAACGGTTCAACCGGTTTAAACGGTCTAAACGGTTTTGTGGCCAGACCTTTCCTTTGAGAGAAGGTTTAAACGGTTTAAATAGTTTTGGGCCCGGACCTTTCCTCCGAGAGAGGGTTTAAACGGTGTTGGGCCCTGACGCTTCCTTTGAGGGTTCAAACGGTTTAAATGATTGAGTTGGGGAGTCATTGTCCTTTTGCAGAGTCAGATGTAAAGACAAAAAAAGTCGACGTTTGGGGGAGAGGGCGGGGGGGTGGGTGGGTCCCGCAGATATATATATATATATATGCCGTATTTGGACATAGGTGTGTATATCTTTATATAGATACGCATATTGATGATGGAATTAGTAGAAACCTAATGCATATTCTCATTGAGATATAAAGTTATTGAATAACGAAGATGTACAATTCGAAGACGTTCTTTGAACTTAATGGAGGGGTAAATGATTTTTATTAATTGATAGACAAACAAAAGATTGTAACATTCATAAGCACGTGTATAGAAGATCACATATCTATTGCAATGTACAAGGCTTCGAACTCTTAGGACAGTATTGACAGTGTTGTTGAATAAATTTAATACAGAAGTGAAATTTGGATTTAGACAGGGTGGACATGTTATAGCGTCATATGTATGTATGCGAGCATAGGATTGAGTAAGCATAGGTTTGTGTGTGTGTGTGTGTGTCTGTTTGTGTCTTCGCAGATGACTCTCAGCATTCTCTATATATATATATATATGTTTTTGGGGTGGGGCAGGACTCCTGTCTCGATTTACTGCTGCCGCAATTTACACAATGACGTTTATTCATTGTGAGTCTTCGCCCGCGCCGTGTGTGTTTTTTTTGCCGAGGAGGAGCCCAAAAGCGCCGAGCCGACGCGCGAAATCGGAGCTCGAGAGAGCTCCGAGGCGTGGCTTCTGGGGGCGTGTTGAGTGCCAGAGTCTTGTCCGGAGATGGTCAAACCCATAGGCGCCCTTTTTAGGTTAGTTTGGTTAAAGATAGATGGGTCCCACTGGTTTAGAGGGGTTTTGTTTTCCATTGGACAGGCCAGACCTGAGCTTCTCTGCAGCTTGTGATTTCATGTGCAGCCTTGCCAGCCCCAAGTGATAGTTTCGACTCCTGCGATGACACACGGCTCCGTGCTGTTCTTGGTGGCCTCGGCCCTTCGCGCAGCGGCGCAAGGCGGCGGAGGAGCGGGCGGACCACCAGGAGGAGCCGGCGGACCACCAGGAGGAGGAGGAGCAGGCGGAGGCGTCGCGTTGGAGGAGCCGCACATCACCATCAATTCCGATGTGGAGTGCAGGACGAATGCGGCCGGCCCACAGACCATTACCGGGTACATCTACTGCGACAACTACTTTGAGTTCTGGTTCAATGGAGTCCTCGTGAAGAAGGACCCGATGACCTTCACTCCGCACAACGCGGTTGCCGTCTCGTTCGAGTGGGACGGGGTTTCCGACAAGGAGTACGCGATTATGTGCATGGACTACGCAAGCAGCTCCGGGTACGAGTACGTGGAGACTTCGAGCCCGGGGCTTGGCGACGGGTCGCTCATGGCGGAGTTTTCGGATGGCACTGTGACGAGCGCTGCTTGGAACGTCTTCGTGCTGACCATGGGGCCGACCGACGCCTCCATCACAGCAGGCTGCAGCAGCAGCAATCTGGCGCCATGTGCGGTCGTTTCCACACCAGAGCCCGCAGGACGGGATCGGGCGAAACACCCCTTGAAACATAAACGCGTTCAAACACAGACCTTGCCTATATATAAAACGTGTTGAAGCAAGGTGCGGCCAGCCCCACATGTTTATGAGTAGGTGTGCAGGGCCACTGAGCTTTGTGCAAGGAGATTCTTTCAAAACCAGGCATCTGCCCCGCGTTCTGGGGGTGTATAAACGGCTCCTGGGTGTTTAAATAGCGCGCCCCGCCCCCCCCCCCCCCCCATGTTTAAGCTCTCAATTCGAGCATGCTCTTGAAAGTTTGTCTTCCGACCACGCAAAGGTGCATAAACGGCTCCTGGGTTTTTAAATAGCGCGCCCCGCCCCCCCCCCCCCCCCCCCACATGTTTAAGCTCTCAATTCGAGCATGCTCTTGAAAGTTTGTTTCCGACCACGCAAAGGTGCGGATGTTTGGGGAGTCTTTGAACACTCTTCAAGCGATCGCTGGCGATTGAACGTCTTCGTTTGGTTCAAACACCCCCATGTCAAAACATGCATGTTGGGGTGTTTAGGCAACCTTTTTCGGCGTTCCGTTCAAACGTTGAGTGTTGTTTGCTTAAGCGTTTAGGGCGGCGTTGTGCCAACCACTGCAACATGTCGCCAGGATGGATGGCTGGTGGCTATCAGGGTAGCGGCGGGTGGATATCGGCGACCGAGTACTCCGCCGCGCAGGCGGGTTGGGGCAGGACACCGACGTGGGACGCGACGCTGAAGTGCTGCGGTACGGCCACCAGCCCGGCGACGCAGGAGACACTGACCAACAACGGCGGCTGCTCCGTGAACTACGAGAGCGCCACCCCAGCCGGGGCTGCTGTTACGGTGGCGGAAGATGAGTGCTTGGATCCCAAGGCCTTCTTGTCAGAGACCAGGTCGAAGATGATCTGGTCCGCCGACTTGGAGCGGGACAACAAGCTCCTGTTCCGCATCACCGTGCCTGCCAATGCGTCGACGGTGGTGCAATGCCCCACGTGCAGTGCGCCAACGGTTGATCAAAGCGCACAACGAGTGCGCAGGGAGTTGCGAACACTCAGCGCGGCAGAGTGGAAGAAGGTGACGGACGCCATGTGGGTCATGAAGAACACGGCCCAGGCGGCCGGTGTCGAGACATATGGCCAGGCGTTCCGTACCTATGACCACTTCCCAGCCAAGCACGCCGCAGCGTATGCCGACGCACGCGGGGACCAGGCTCACTTCGGACCTCAGTTCATGACTTGGCACAGCGCCTTCATCTTAGAGTTCGAGAATGCGCTGCTGAGTGTGGACAGCACAATCGGTGCCTTGCCATACTGGGACTCAACAGTGACCTCTCCGTCCATCTTCTCGGAGACTTACTTCGGAAGTGCTCCTGGCACGGGCTCCGGCTCTCAGGTTGTCGACGGTGTCTTTCTGAACTGGCCGATCAAGTCGAGTTTTTCCTTGTCCGATTACAACCCAACCGGCAGCTCTCCATACACTGGCTCGCCCACGGGAATGCTGCGGGGCTCCACCAACAACAATGCGAACGCGATGATGACGCGCTTCGGCTCGGGCACGTATTCCTTCGGCGCCAACGAATTCTGGATCTGCGCGAACTTGGATGGGTTTTGGTATGACTGGTACAAGTGCGTGGAGGGTGATGCCACTGTCACTGGGAGCTTCCACGGAGGGCCACATGGCCAGGTGGGCGGAAGCTCGGGTGGCAACAGCGGCGACTTCGAGGACCCCATCACGTCGCCGAATGACCCGCTCTTCTTCTTTCATCACGCAGGGGTGGACCGCAGCATGCGTTGGTGGATGCTGCAGAACGCAGCCAAGCGCAGCACCTTCTACGGCTTCCCCGCAGCGAACACTGAAGGGATCCGCGAGAATGCGGGGAAGAGCTATTACGGGCAGAGCCTCCTTGACGTGATGTCAAGCGCGTGGGGTTTCACCGCCGCTGACCTGGGCTTCGGCAGCTCCTCCAGCCTCCAGACCAACGCGGACCTGCTGTGCCACAACGGCCCCACCACGAGTGTCTACACCTATGACTCGGAGGTGGCCTGCTCTGGAGGAAGCTCCGCCTGCTCGGCGGTCTGGGGCGACACCACAACGGCTTCGGGTGCTACGACGACAGAGGCTTCGGGCGATACCACGATGACAGAGACCAATGCCCAGGTTGCCAACGCGGGGCAACGGCACACAGCCGCGGTCTTGATCTCAGGTTTTGTTGTGGCCTTGGCCGCCAATTAATGCGAATCGCTAGGGCTTTTCCAAGTCGGTGAGGGTCAAGGGACGCTGCGATCTGGCGCATTGCCCTTCCCCGGCTTGACCTGCTTAGGCGACGAAGATTTTTGGCTGGCGAGGGTGGAAACCTTCCCGGCTTTGATTTGCTTCCCTCGCTCAAAGGCGACGGCGGCACCTAGCTTGTCTAGGCATTCCTTTGTCTCCTCTTGCATCCCATCCCCTCGCTTGGCTTGGTTTCATTGAGTATCATCCACATCCAGGATTGATAGACGAGGTGGTAGGAAAAGGATGAGTGAAGGCCTATCCGCTCGCTCGAGTTTCTCTCCTTTCTCGTCTGCAGACTCGTTGGGAGCTGTTCTGGTTACACCCCGCGAAGCGCCGCTGGACCGGACTTTCGGCCTCGGGTCCCGGGCCACCAATCCACTTGGGAGAACCGCCACCTCCTGACCCCTTGACCCCGAAAGTGACATGACATGAGCCACATGCTCAAAACCGGTTCGGGTAGATGAAGGTGAGTGAGGGACACGCCCCTTGCCATAAGAAGCATTAAGAAGCTGCGGATACCCGCCTTCTTGATTCTTTCCATTGCCGGGTTTTGAGAAAGTGACTCACATCACCTCGGAGGCACTGGCGGCCTCTCCGCTCCGTCCTGAGCGATGTCCTTTCGTGGCTGTCCCCTTCAAGTCAATGAGGGGAAGGTTCCAATTGCTGGGTTCTTCTCGCTGGTGCGATAGGTAGGGAAGGAGGGAATTGACGACGGGATTCCGAATAATGGAAACCACGCGGGATGGCTTATAGGGGTCATTCCCTCATTCCCTGCGAAGCACCAGCAAGTTTTGGTATCTTTTGGGACGAGACCAGTTGAGGGCGCGCATGTTGTGTCAAGGGAAGTTGAGATCGAGAACTGGACTGCGGCGGATCCCATAACCAAAGCTGAATCAACACACCAATCCTTATTCAAGTGGACCATGACAAATCCTTTTCCGGCCAATTTTTTGTAGAAAGGGGCGCCCATCCGAACTGGAAAAATAACAATTTATTGGCAACGATTAGAAGAACTACAAGTGCGTTTTCGCAAGCGCATTGGAAGCAGAATGGGATTGGTTTAGAATATAATTGGTGAAGTACAGCAGGCAAGCCCGCAGGGAGTCAGCGTGATTTATGGTGGTTGGGAGAAGCGGTCTTTCAATTTATAAGGGGATGCTTATTCGGAAGATGATGCCGGCTACAGTCCCCTACCAAGCTGCTTTGCCTGAGGTGTCGCTGACGAGGCCGACTGGGGTGGAAGCATCAATACGATTTGGCAGGGTCCTATATTTCCTTTCTTGCTCTTGAAAGAACGTCACTGTATGCGCTTTGAAAGTGAGGTGGGCCGATGAAAGAGCCATGCATGCAGACCTGCATGTTGCTTCCGCCAAGCACCAAGTTGGCCGCTGAGTTTGAAGCCGTCCATTCGCAGCATGCATTGTTTCCGTCTGGCATTGCACGGACTTTCGTTCCTTGGGTCTCAGGAGAGAAGATGTAGAGCTTGATTCATGTTCCGAGTGCTCAGTCGCATTCCAATCTCAGGCCGAAAGCACAACGGGGATCCGACCTTTCAGGCGTCTTCCGGGGAACTGGATTCAGCTGTGTTGTGGGAAATGGATGCCGCATCCAAGTGCAGTTCGGGCGGTGGGGGGGGGTGAAGTCCATGAGCACTGCATGAACCATTGTGCTTCTCTCAGGTGGGCATAGCATTGAAATCAGCTTCTTCTTTTTTTTCTCGATGGCCACTGGGTACGAGTCGGCAAGCAAGATGGGGCAGTCAATGGCTGGAGCTTGCGGAAGATTCATGCCTCCTTCTTTCGCGGCATCGGCAGCCCAAGTACCTGGCAAGTCTGCGAAGTTTGTTTCCGTTCGGGCAATGGCATCAGTGTGGCGTAGCCTGTGCATCACGTGCGTTGTGGTGTGCACAGCTGTACGGACTGATGATGGCCGAGCCAGGTTAGCTGCTGAGGATGCCTCTAAACACGCTGAGGCTGTGACATTAGCCACCGAGGATACCTTTGCTGAGGAAAGCTGCTGGGGCAAGTTAGAAGATGAGAAATGCCAGACCAAAAAAAAAGACTCGGAAGGGCATTTTACCTACGGCAAGTGCCACTGCCCCCGAGAGCACTATGGCTTGGCAGAGGTGGGCCTGAGACGTGTATATCTGTGGGGGCTATGCAAAAACGAGCTCGTTTGCAAATGACCCGCCCGAAGGCTGAAAAAAGAAATCCGCGTGCGGCTTGCCTGCCAGCTTCCCGACGCGCATCGGCACATTGACACGTTTTCAGTTGTGGCGAGCCGGCTTACATTGCTCGGTAGAAAGTTTGCTTGCGGCCAGAAGTACGGAAAGTGTCGGCGCCGCTTGGTAGTGTTGTGTACCTTTTAGTTGGTCTCTTGCATGAAATTGCGCCGTGTTCCTCCATGTTCTTACCGCTTGCCAAATCTTTCCCAAGCCCTTCTTGAGCAGCCCCCGCAGCCCAAGCAATTAGCTTCCCTTTGAGTCAACCTTTAGCAGACAAGCCATGTCTAAATCACCCAGTGAACATGGAACCTATTCTGTTACTGCCATCTGACTTTCCCAAAGTTGACCTTTGGCTAAAGACAGATTGGGTCAAAAAGTCAACCTTTGCTTTGTGGATCGTTTGGTCTGAGCAATCCATCAAAACCCAGGCGAAGCAAGCGCGCCCTTTCGAAGCCACTGACATGGGCCGCGGAAGCGACCCGAAACAACGAACCAACCAAGCTGATAAAGAAGCCCCAGAACCCTGCCCACCTTTTGAGCATACCAAGCAATCAACCCTTATGATCCTTTTTGTACGCGTCATCTAACCCTCCCAGGATGTTTTGGTATGACCCTCAGACAATGCTTGTCCTCAGTGCCTTTCAGGGGGTTTTTGTTTGATTGATCCGGCGTTTGGGATTGTAAGACACGGGCAGTCGCAACTTATGTGAGGATCATGTCTCGTGCAAGCCGGCTTGCCAGGATATCTCGTGGTCCAGGATGCGCTGCATCCTGCCTTCGCCCGAGAGTTCGCAGCGGCTCGGTTGACATGGCATGGCTAGCGCCACCTCGGCAAACAACTATACATATATATATATATATTACAAGAGAGGTGGTCCAGATGCAACAGTTGTCAGATGAGAGGGCCCCTATAGATGTCCAACCACAAGACCGGCTGGTCGAAATCCTCATGTGGCTTGTGTTCAAGGGTGCCTTGCCAGACTCGTGGAACCCCTCGTGCCATGGACACCTGGATTTTGCGAGAGTCATCATGACCCCAGCCTTCTTTGAGGGTATTGGTTTTGGGTTCTTGGCTGCAAAATGGACTCTAGGCGGCACCTAGCTTGTCTAGGCATTCCTTTGTCTCCTCTTGCATCCCATCCCCTCGCTTGGCTTGGTTTCATTGAGTATCATCCACATCCAGGATTGATAGACGAGGTGGTAGGAAAAGGATGAGTGAAGGCCTATCCGCTCGCTCGAGTTTCTCTCCTTTCTCGTCTGCAGACTCGTTGGGAGCTGTTCTGGTTACACCCCGCGAAGCGCCGCTGGACCGGACTTTCGGCCTCGGGTCCCGGGCCACCAATCCACTTGGGAGAACCGCCACCTCCTGACCCCTTGACCCCGAAAGTGACATGACATGAGCCACATGCTCAAAACCGGTTCGGGTAGATGAAGGTGAGTGAGGGACACGCCCCTTGCCATAAGAAGCATTAAGAAGCTGCGGATACCCGCCTTCTTGTTTCTTTCCATTACCGGGTTTTGAGAAAGTGACTCACATCACCTCGGAGGCACTGGCGGCCTCTCCGCTCCGTCCTGAGCCATGTCCTTTCGTGGCTGTCCCCTTCAAGTCAATGAGGGGAAGGTTCCAATTGCTGGGTTCTTCTCGCTGGTGCGATAGGTAGGGAAGGAGGGAATTGACGACGGGATTCCGAATAATGGAAACCACGCGGGATGGCTTATAGGGGTCATTCCCTCATTCCCTGCGAAGCACCAGCAAGTTTTGGTATCTTTTGGGACGAGACCAGTTGAGGGCGCGCATGTTGTGTCAAGGGAAGTTGAGATCGAGAACTGGACTGCGGCGGATCCCATAACCAAAGCTGAATCAACACACCAATCCTTATTCAAGTGGACCATGACAAATCCTTTTCCGGCCAATTTTTTGTAGAAAGGGGCGCCCATCCGAACTGGAAAAATAACAATTTATTGGCAACGATTAGAAGAACTACAAGTGCGTTTTCGCAAGCGCATTGGAAGCAGAATGGGATTGGTTTAGAATATAATTGGTGAAGTACAGCAGGCAAGCCCGCAGGGAGTCAGCGTGATTTATGGTGGTTGGGAGAAGCGGTCTTTCAATTTATAAGGGGATGTTTATTCGGAAGATGATGCCGGCTACAGTCCCCTACCAAGCTGCTTTGCCTGAGGTGTCGCTGACGAGGCCGACTGGGGTGGAAGCATCAATACGATTTGGCAGGGTCCTATATTTCCTTTCTTGCTCTTGAAAGAACGTCACTGTATGCGCTTTGAAAGTGAGGTGGGCCGATGAAAGAGCCATGCATGCAGACCTGCATTTTGCTTCCGCCAAGCACCAATTTGGCCGCTGAGTTTGAAGCCGTCCATTCGCAGCATGCATTGTTTCCGTCTGGCATCGCACGGACTTTCGTTCCTTGGGTCTCAGGAGAAAAGATGGAGAGCTTGATTCATGTTCCGAGTGTCGCATTCCAATCTCAGGCCGAAAGCACAACGGGGATCCGACCTTTCAGGCGTCTTCCGGGGAACTTGATTCAGCTGTGTTGTGGGAAATGGATGCCGCATCCAAGTGGAGTTCGGGCGGTGGGGGGGGTGAAGTTCATGAGCACTGCATGAACCATTGTGCTTCTCTCAGGTGGGCATAGAATTGAAATCAGCTTCTTCTTTTTTTTCTCGATGGCCACTGGGTACGAGTCGGCAAGCAAGATGGGGCAGTCAATGGCTGGAGCTT